TCCTTCCTTCCTTCCTTCCTTCCTTCCTTCCATTCCCATCTCCTTCCTTCCTTCCTTCCTTCCTTCCTTCCTTCCTTCCTTCCTTCCTTCCTTCCTTCCTTCCCTTCCCTTCCCTTCCCTTCCCTCCCTCCCTTCCACCCCTGGAAGATGCCAGGGCCCCCCCCGGCAGGGAAACAGAGGCAGGACGGGCAGCGGAGAGCCGGCGCGCACCGCAACAGGCAGAGCAAGAAGTTTTCTTCTCCGTACTTTTGCGAAGGGAAGCCGTCGGAGAAGCCTCGCGCTCTGGTTCGGTAGAACCAAACGGACCAGGGGAAAAAACTGTCAGGCAGGCAAAAAAGAAAAGACAAAAAAAAAAATCTGCTCCTCTGAACCGAAACGACCCGCTTTTTCTCTTTGAGGCGCTTCAGAACGAAGGGGGGGAAACCCGGCTCGTCCCTTTGATCCCAGCGAGGGATGGAGCGGAAGGTGGGGGCTCCGTTAGGATTTAGGTGCGCGCCCAGCTCCTCTCCTTTTCCAGCGGAACCCTTCCTGCCCCTCTTTCCCTTCCCTTCCCTTCTCCCCCCCCTCCTTTTCCTTCCTCCCTTTTCCTCCTCCTCCTCCTCCTCCCCCCCCTCCTCCCCTCCCCTTTCCGTTCCTCCCTTTCCCTTTCTCTGGGGCTGCTAGCGAAAGTGCTCTGCGCCCATTAAGAGAAAGCTGATCCGCCGAATGCCTGGCCTGCTCGTTTACTCTGGTGTGTAGACTGTGTGTAGACGGAGGGGCAGAAAAGGTAAGAAAAGGGAAGTTTTAAGGAGAGGCGGCTGTTTGGTTTATTAGAAACGTCCAGGAGAGCAGCTGAATCAGCAAGCGGTGCCTTTGCTGGCCCTTCTGGGGGAAGACCGGGCAGCGGGGGGGGGGGGGAGAACCGGACGGCCAGTTCCCCCTCCCTCAGCAGGCGCAGGAAAGGGAAACGGCCGGGGCTTACCTCTCTGCTGCCCACCCATCTAGCTCTCATCCCGGAGAGGCAGCCCAGGCGAGATAAGCAGAGGATCCATCAGTTTTTCCCCCGGCGGTCTCCAGAACTGGCCGGACAAGAGTCCCTGCACTTGGGGCACCTTAAAGCGGAGATGCTGCCAAGGGCTGCCCTTTTTTTGTGCTGAGCTGGAGGGCAGCCAGGCGAGGGTGGGCAGCTCACTAGCCCCTCGAGGGGTCTCCTCACCCTGGAGGATCGGTGGCCTTCAACCTAACTTAGTCTGGAAGGATGTAAGGATACAAAAGTCCACATTTTCTTGCCTGGTTTCAGGAGAAGGTGGAGTTCTAAATTCTGGGGGGGGGGGTTTAGTCTGGGCTCTTCTTATCCTGCTCGGCCGTTGGGCAGGGCGTTGGTTCTTGGGCGCATTGAGGGAGAGGCCTGGGTCTGCTAGCAAGGAGGGCCCTGAATAAATGTATTTCAGGAGTTGGGGGGCGGATTTCTCTGTGGAGGAGATGGGTGATAGCCCCTTTGGGTGCCCAATGCAGATAATGTTAGAATGCCAAGTTGGTATAACCATTCTCCAGAATCTTCCGAGAAGCAAAAAGCAGTCAAAGCAGAGCAAATTGTAGTTAGATTTTTTAGTTTTGATTCAAAACTCAGAAATTGGATTGGGGAATTAATCTGAAATTCAGTATCTAAGCACTTGTTTCGTCTCCTCTCCTCCCCTCCCCTCCCCTTCCCTTTCCTCCCCTCCCTCTCCTCTCCTTTCCTTTCCTTTCTTTTTATGGGTGAACTTTCACACAACTAAAGATCATTTTCAGACCTTTGTGTATTATAAACTAAGTCTTGGGGACTTGTGGATACTCCCTTTGGAGAAATTTGTACATTATAAACTGGCATTTTAGCTCTTCTTTTGTGCCTTATGGAGCTTAATTCTGTCCAAGCTCAATGCTGGCCATTCTGTAATGCCCCAAAGGGAATATCTTCAAATCTATGCCACCATCAATGCAAACTTCCCTGCATCCACATTTGAGATCAGAGGATGAGCAGTTCTCCCAGCTCTTCACAGAAGTCAAGCACAACTCTACTTGCCATTATTCTAATTCACGTTGTAGACCCCTAAACAACCCCCATCCCTGTTTTGCAGTCTCTGTTCTGGCTCCCGTTTGATCTGTGGCTTGTGTATTTCCTGCGCTGCCTTGAAAGCCAAGACATGCATTGAACTGAGCTGTTCCAAACAAGTTTACAGGTTTAAGGTGGGGAAGGACTTTGGAGGTCATCTAATCCACCCATGGCTCTTGTCTTGTCCTTGGGGTGCTGTGGAGAATAAATCCTCTCCCACCCACCCACCCACCCACCCCATTCCCTAGGCCAGCCCTTCAAAGACTGAAGGCTGCCCTTAGACTTTTCTTCTCAAGGTGGATCATTTTTTTTATTACGGACAAAGATCAGCATATTCTTTAGGTTGAATATACTAAGTTCTGTTAACTGCTCTCTCTAGGATTTAGCTTCCAAATGGTTTAGTATCGTTGCTGTTTTTTTCTGCACTCTACTAGTTCCTCAGTGTCCTTTTTGTATTGTGGCAACCACACCTGGACTGTAATTGAGGTGTCTGTGTCCATACAGGTGGGTCCATACCTCCGTGATTCAATCCAAATCCCAATTTTGGCAGCTGTCAAATGTTCCTGGTTGATGGTCTACCCTGATCCTCCTTAAAAGTATTACTGCTAAGCTGGTTATTGCCCAAGTTGTACCTGGAGTTTGTTTTTTCCTGCCTAAATTTAGTCAAACTTTCCATTTCTTGAAAGTATTTTGTTGGATAGGATCCAAAATTCTGCTTGTCTGTGATTGTGCATGGGATGGAAAACAAGAGAGAGAGAGAGAGAGAAGAGAGAGAGAAAAAGAAAGAGAGAGGGGAAAGGAGAGAGAAGAAAAAAAAACAGAGAGAAAAGAGAAAAAGAGAGGGGCAGAGGGAAAGAAAGAGAGAAAAGGAGAGATAGAGAGAGAAAGAGAGGAGAGAGAAGAGAGAAAGAAAGAGGGAAAAGAGAAAGAGAGTTAGAGATAGGCAGAAAGAAACAAAGAGAAAAAAGAGAAAGAGAGAAAAGAAAGAAACAGAGAGAGAAAAGAGGGAGAGGGAGAGAGAGAAAAGAAAAAGAGAAAGGGAGAGGGAGGGAGAAAAAAGAGAGAAAGAAAGAGTCAATTCCTGGAGCAAAAAGATGGGAGATGAACTGTGGAGAATAGAATAGAATAGAATAGAATCTTCATTGTCACTTTAAATGTACACTAATCAGCATACATTAAGATGCAATTGCTTTGCATTCAGCTCTAAAAAAAAACAACCATTATGCATATACCCAGATACCCACACACACACACACACACACACACACACACACACATGACCCAGAGCAAGGCCCATCTAACCACCTGGACTTTTGAACAAGGTCCTTCCCAAGCTCACCCCTGGAGAGGGGGATTTGTCACGGTGGAGAAAACCAGCAGAGTGTCTCCCAGACCAGGGGACCCCTGACCACCTTCTCCCTTCTCCACCCGGTGCACAAACATGCCCGTCTCGTGTCAACATCTCCGCCCACTAGGCAGGGTTCGGTTTCAAGCAACAGATGGGCGCTAACCAGCTATTAAGAGCTCAGCCGCTGGACAGCTCCTCCCAAGAACAGAAGGGTCGTTACTTCTTACAGGCAGCCCTCAACTTACCAGTTCACTTAGTGACCGTTTGAAGTTACAATGGCACTGGAAAAAAGTGACTTATGACCATTTTTCACACTTAAGACCACTGCAGCAGCCCCCTGGTCACGTGATCAAAATTCGCTCGGCAGCTGGCGCGTGCTTACGATGGTTGCTGTGTCCGGGGTCTTTTTGCAGTGTCCCTTTTGCAACCCTCCGACAAGCGAAGTCAAAGGGGAAGCCAGATTCACTTAACAACCGTGTCACTAACTAAACTGCAGCGGTCCACCTAACAACTGTGGCGAGAAAGGTTGTCAAATGGAGGGGAAAAAAATCATCAAACAACCATCTGGCTCAGCCATAGAAACTCAGGGCTCAGCTGTGATAGTAAGTTGAGGGATACCTGAACTTTCTTACAATGAGCAGGGATGTCCACCTTGGTTCCCTCCATTGGCAGCTTATGGGTTGCAGCTTCTCCCCATTCTCTCTCAGGGGCTGATGGCCCTCTGTCCTTTATCTCATGTTATCATTAAAATCTGGAGACTCTCATGAACCAGGCAGGGCAGGAATGATGGGCCCTCCTGTGCATTTTGTTTCCATCAAGGGCTTCTGTGTAGGACAATGTCCAATCGGATCTTCCCCATCCTTGATATTAAGGACAGATTGTGACAGTGTTGGGATTGGGCAAAATGTTAGAGCAGTGTTTCTCAACCGTGACAACTTCAAGCTGTATGGACTTCAGCTTCCAGAATTCTGGGACTTGGAAGTCCATACTATTTAAAGTTGCCAAGGCTGAGGATCACTGTGTTAGAGACAGAGATATGGAAGAATAAGTCACCATCTCTTGTTCTTGTGCTTGTGTGTCTTCTGAAGAACATTTCAAAGCATCTCAGCAGGTTTGAAATTTGGGACACTCATCTAGCTGACTTCCATCTCAGGGCTGGTGTTATTTCCTTGTTAAGAGGTGGATCGCAGGACCCAACTGTTGATGTATTTGAGATTGGTATTATTTACATATGAATAAGTTCATCTCAAGGGGACTTGTGTGAGCAAACTGGGGACCCTGTGACATTGTTTTCAATAGGTATATTTTCAATAAGTATATGTATATTATTGCTGCCATGTTGTTTCTCTCATTTTTTCAGACAGCCAAAGCACCCAGATCAATCCAGAATTTCTGCACCATCCAAATATTTCTGGTTGCCTTCCATAATTTCATGAGAACGAATTGTGTAGAAATTTGAGGTGGATTCCGAAGCCCATCCTGCCTGTCCTGCTACAGGGATTATCCAAAGTCCTCCCCTTCCCTTCTCTTATCTCCTCACCCCACAAACAGGCTGCCCCGTGGTCTTCTCAGCCACTATGCTCAATTCAGACCAGACCGAGATTGACCTCCAGCCCACCCATTCGGAGACTGAGTCGGTGTTCAGTGACTGTGGGGGAGGCCGGGGTGGACCTGTAGAAGATGCTGGTTCCCTCAGTCTATGTGGCCAGTCCCGGGGGCCCGAGTCCAGTGATCACATGAAGAAGGACCTTCAGCATCTCAGCCGTGAGGAACGACGGCGTCGACGGCGAGCCACGGCTAAATATCGGACGGCCCATGCCACGCGGGAGAGGATCCGCGTTGAGGCCTTCAACATGGCCTTTGCTGAGCTCCGCAAGCTTTTGCCCACCCTCCCTCCAGATAAGAAGCTGTCCAAAATTGAGATTTTGCGACTGGCCATCTGCTACATCTCGTATCTGAACCACGTCCTGGATGTCTGAGTCTCAGGCGCCGTGGGGGCCAGGCCTGCCAGTATGACCCACGTTTTCAAGAATACTGTAAATCATGAATGTTCTCTCTGGCTTTTGGTCTACACACAAACATCTAGGAGAATCCGGTTCTGGCTCTCTCTTCGGTCATTTCTGCTTTCCTGCTCCTACTAAATGGAGATTCTCATACGTGCTGGAGTGCTCCTAACTCAACCATAGACCTTCTCCACCTTCCTTATAATTGAGAAGAAGCTGCCCAGAATTCTCCAGTTCCACCATGAGCTTGAAGGAGACAAGGACTTTGGTTACCCTTCGCCTCAGAAATCTGTACTCAAGAACCTCACATTGTCATTCCCCCAAGATGCTTGGTTGTGGAGCATCTCCTGATGGGTCCTACACATTTGGAATTCTGACTGCTTTCCATCTCCAGTGTGTTGAAACGCAGTTTAAATGACCTTCTCTCATTGTGTGCATATCTTTAATACTTGAACATAATAATGTGGAAATTAGCAAGCGGGGAAAAAAGTCCGGAATTCTAAAGAGAAGCTTCCTTCATCTCCAAGATCAACATTTCCCAACCTTGCTCGCTTGAAGATGGGTCGACTTCAATTCCTTGAATTCCCAGAATTCTGGGAATTGAAAATTCCCCCATCTTCAAGTAAGCAAGGTTGGGAAACACCGTCCCTAGACGGTGGATTTAGTTATAGAAGCACTGGGTTGTTGAAAATAGCTGGCTTGGGGGTCAAAGCAACCTATGTGGCTTTATTCTTGCAGATCTTCTAATCATAGCACAAATCTCTATGTGCAATACGTTGGTTTTTAAGTTGCCACAAGGGGCTTTGGTCTTTTCAACAATGCAACACAAACACACACACACACACATACTTAGCGCTGCTAGATATTAACCCTGCCTCAGCCTTTGTTCGTTTAGTTCAGGTGGGCTGTTGTAGGGGTCTTGGAGGATGGGGGAGGCTTTCCCAGCCCTGAGAGGCCGAGGGTCTCCTGCACACAAGTCCAGGTAGTCCTCAATTTACAACCATTCACCTAGCAACTGTTTGAACTTACTGAAATAAGCGATTTATGACTGGTCCTCGCACTTACGACCATTAGAGGATTCCCCACAGTCATGTGATCAACCTTTGGGTGCTTGGCAGTAGGCGTGACCTGCTCACCAGGCTTCGAATGAAGGAAGTCAGCAGGGGAAGCCAGATTGACTTCATGACCTCGTAATTCACTTACCAACTGCAGTGATTCGCTAGACGGCCTTTGCAAAGAAGAAATCGGGGGCAACTCACTTGTCTCCCTGTCTTGCTTAATAGTGGAAAATTTGGCTGCAACTGTGGCTGTAAGTCGAGGTCTAAGAATGGCCGGTCGGAGAGCTCCGCTTGAAGTTCCAGGTTTCTCCAAGAGACGTCAAGCAGCTTGGGAATAAGAAAGGAATGAAGCTTGGACGAGGACTAAATCTGATTTGGTTTCATGTAAACGTAATTTCTGTTCCAGCAACTAATTGCGGGCGATGCGCTTCCTCTGTCTCTCTCTGTTTAAAAACTTCCACCGTTGGTTGCATTAATCGTGGTAGTTCAGGAGCACCAAGGGGGCTGGGGGCGCCCCAACTCCCGCACCGAGGGGCATCCTCACAAGCCTGCCCGAGAGACTGCACCCCGATCCTGCAGCCCCACAAAAGAGCCTGGTCTTCATCCCACCGCTGAAGTCGTGGCGGTCCCACTGTGGAGCTGAATTCGTAGACGCTCCTAGCGGCACAACGGAGCCCGCCTGGTTGACATCAAGACCCACCGTTGGGTGCCACCCTCTATTTATGTATTTATTTGATGTATTTATTTTTTTGAGATGTTATTTATTTACAGTGTCGATGCACTTTTGTTTGGGGGAGAAGATTTTAGGGGGTGGGAAAAAGAAACAAAAACATATCCAGAACGTCCTTCTGTACGTGTGCATTTCCGTGTACATTTCTTGTTCGGTTAGCGCAGAGCAGATTCGATCGCTATTTATTATTTATTTTGTAAGCCGACGGGCAAAATATTAAACTCTTCCATGCAGATCAGCCTAATTTGATCGCCAAAGGGCCGGGCAGCGAGAGACTCCCGTTTTCCCTCCCCTCCTTAAAAGTCCCTCCACCCACTTTATTTGTGGCGCTGGGTGGCAGCTGGTAATTTCGTGAGCAGTAATTGATAGTCACACGCCCGTTACGAGCAGCCTAATCAAATCTTGCACTCCAAAGCGTGAAGAAACCGCAAGAGTGGAAAAATAGGGCTGGAGGGGGCTCCTGCCCCCCCCCAGCCTCCATCAAGCCAGTGGTGAGCTGCTTCTTTCTCCAGGTGTATCCTGAAGTTACCGGGCTGGTTCCATCCTTAAACAGGATGAGATGCAATTGCACATGTGAATTTTAACCAAGGTACCACCGAAGGCCATCATTGCACTATTATCCAGAACCAGCTTTGCTGGCTGGGGAGTTCTGGGAATTGAAGTCCACGCATCTTAAAGCTGCCAAGGTTGAGAGACAGGAGCTCTGGATAATGACAGTGCGATGATGGCCTCGGGTGGTAGCTTGGCTACCTTGAAAAATCTTCCTTCTGGCAACGGTATTTAACTTCCCTTGCTTTGAATCTGGCTCTTGTTTTCCAGGTGCCATAGAGTGACAATGTTCATAATGCACAGCCAGTCCAAAATTGGGAGGGTACCAGGTTGGGAAAAAGCCATGTTGAGGCTGTGATGGTTCCCCAAGGCATGAGGTTGACCCTGCTTTAGACAAGATGCAAAGCCTTGATTCATCCGTCATTGAATCAGATTTATGGAATGAACTTCAAGAGCTAAAGCCATGATATGCCCTACAGACCATGATTGCTGGTTCATGGAACCTGCTGAGTTCCAGATCACCAAATACTGTGAGGACGCAGCATAGTGTTGTGAGAGATGGTGTGATAGCTACAGGTTTGTCTGCTGGAAGTGCACCATCAGAGCCTTGGAGAACATGGCTTTATAGAATGGATCAGAGTTTGGATCTCAAGAATCTTTCCAAGCAAACTTACCCCCCTTTTCTCACAGCTCTTGAGTGCACAGTCAGAATTCTCTTCTATTTGTTGTTGCCATTCACACATAAAGCAATTTTCTTGCCAGGTCGTTGGACACATATTTCTACGGGTCCCCTGGTGCTCTCTGAGCTTGGTGGTTGTCTTGTAGACGTTTCATTACCAATCTAGGTAACATCATCACTGCTACTGATGATGTTACCTAGTTTGGTAATGAAACATCTGCAAGAAAACAACCAAGCTCAGAGAACACCAAGACCCTACAGTCCTCTTCTTCCTCTTCTCTGCAAACCCCACTTCCTTCTAGCACTGATGATGTTACATAGTTGGGTAATGCAATCCTTGCAAGAAAACAACCAAGCTCAGAGAGCACCAGGACCCTACAGTCCTCCTCCTCCTCCTCCTCCTCTTTCTCCTCCTCCTCCTCTTTCTCCTCCTCCTCCTCTTTCTCCTCCTCCTCCTCCTCCTCCTCCTCCTCCTCCCCGCGAACCCCATTCCCTTCTAGCACTGACCTAGTTGGGTCATGAAAGGTCTGCAAGAAAACCACCAATCTCAGAAGCATCAAGGACCACACAGTGCTCCTCTTCCATTCCACAAACCCCACTCCCTTCAGGCACTGATGATGTTACCTAGTGAATAGAATAGAATAGAATAGAATAGAATAGAATAGAATAGAATAGAATAGAATAGAATAGAATAGAATAGAATCTTTATTGTCACTTTAAATGTACACTAATCAGCATACATTAAAATGAAATTTCGTTGCATTCAGCGCTCAAAAAAATACCATTATGCATATACCCACATACACACACACATATGACACAGAGAAACATCAAAGTCTAGTTTGAATACATGGCAAAAAAAAGAGAATCCTGCGAATTTACAAGACAGATGGCGTAAGGACCAAAGTTGTGGCAGAATCTAGTAGTTCTGCTATAAATACTTCGAAACCTCCTCCCAGAGGGGAGCATCAAGAACAGATTGTGAACAGATTGTGGGTGTGTGGGGTCTCTAACAATGCTCCAAGCTCGTCTAATCACATTTAAGTGCTTGTAATCAGTATCCTGAATCATGGGAAGCGAGCTTCCTATGATCTTTCCAGCTGTCCTTACCACTCTCTGTATGGACCTTCTGCTTGAGGCTCTGCTATCACCAAACCAGACAGTGATGCAGTTTGTTAAGATGCTCTCCATCGTGCCTCTGTAAAAAGTGCCCAGGACAGAAGGAGGGAGACGTGCTCTCCTCATCCAACGCAGGAAATGCAGATGTTGGTTTGCACGCTTCACTAAAGATAATGTATGAAGAGACCAAGTCAGATTGTTAGTTATCTGCACCACCCAGGTATTTAATACTATTGACCACCTCCACAGCTGCAGCCTTGATACAAAGTGGAGTATGACTATGCCGGCTCTTTCTAAAATCAAGAATGATCTCCTGTTTTATTAAACAAAATTGGGCAATGAAACGTCTTCAAGAAAACAACCAAGCTCAGAGAGCACCAAGGAGCCCACAGGCAGAATCTTGCCAGACTAAACCTTTACTTTTCTCACCCTTACAGACCTGCGCCTGGGAGGTTCTAGGTAGTGTCTGTCCCAACTTTCTTCCTTTGTCTTTGATTCAGCTCTAGACTATGCTGCCTCTTGTCTCAGTCCCCCCCCCCAATGTGCTCCCTAGTCCATCATAAACACACACACACACACACACACACACACACCCCTCTGTGGGCACCATCTCTCACAGTTTCGTTCCACCAGAAGCCATAAGAATTGGGCTTCAGCCCCAAGACCCACCCAGGACATTGCTTTTTTCCTGCCCCAAACCCCACCGCTAAAGGCAGGAGGGGGCTGGCAGGGTTGTGGGTCAGCTACCACTCCTTGGCCAAGTGGAGAAACGGCTCTTTCCAGCGTCTTTTCCTTTTGTAGCTAAACCTGTTTGATCCATTTATGACTTCGTTTCCACTAC